TTAGTATCCTGCTTATGATTGGGTTTTTGGAGTTTCCAGGTTAAGACCTCATCCTGGTTTTAAGAAACCAGGATAATGTGGCAACACCTCATCCAGGTTTCTGAACCGTCTCGTAGTAGCTGAGATGGTGAGAAATCAAGACACACCTGCAGGCACACATCAGAAACCTGGATATTATTATGCTCACGTATACAGGGATATGAATAACCAGGTTCCATGTTCCATGTAAGCACCGTATAATCAACACCGGGATAAGGCTCAAAACAGGACACTAATGCACATGTAAACACACTGTTAGTATATTCCTACTCTCACATTTTCCTTGACTGCTTTTCCCTCCTGCCATGTACTCTCGCTCCTGTCACTTCAGATCCTACCACACTCACCTGCCATACAGTAACCCCTGTGCTACCCCCATTCCGCCATCACTTGACCTCGCCAGCCCACCTGCACACCTGCTCCCACTACACCATCAGCCCAGTTGCATATATTCCAGCCCATGTCCATTCATCCCCACACTGTCTGCTTCTGCCCTCCATCCATTTTCTCTGCGTGCCTGAGTTTTGCATGTCATGGACAGCATGTTCACCGCTCACCCACAAGTTTCCGGATATCTGGATTTGGATTTGAAAGAGGTCTTTAATAAAGCTTGAGCAACCTCTTTGCCTTCGTCCCTATGACTGCGCCATCAACCTTTTCCCGGGCATGTCTCCACCCAAGGGCCGGTTTTATTCACTATTCGTCCCTGAACCTCAAGCAAAGGACAAATACATCAGTGACTCCCTAAAAGGATAAATCCCAAGTACTTTCTTCGAATACTGGGGCCTTAACAACATCACAGTCAAAAACAGGTACTCTCTCCAGCTCATTTCCTTACTGTTTTTCCTAATTTAGACCTCAGGAATGCTTATCACCTGTTGCGCATTAAGAGGAAGATGAGTAGAAGACTGCCTTTACACACCAAGTAGCCACTATGAATATCGGGGTTCATTGTCGCTGATGGTTTAATAGTGCAGCATCATTAAACCGGGTCTTCTGTGGAATCAAAACCTGAGGTAAAACAGTCACACACTGAACACCTCCAGGGGTTGTCCTACTATTTTTGTTCCAGTTCACCTTGACTCACAGGTCCTGTATTTGGGGCACTCCTTTCGCCTGGTGTGTCGTGCTGGGGTTGGGCACACACTCTCCAACGTCAATCTTTCTGGTGGTCCCCGATGGAACAGGACACCCAGGAGTTTACTGCTGAGAACTGCTGGGCTCCTCCAAATACTTCTAGTTCCTTATCGACCTGGTGCCACATCTCCCTGGATTTAGTCACCACTCATTCTTATGATAGTAGACTGTTTTTCCATAATTGCTTATCTCATTTCTCTGCCCAAACAACCAACCGAAGAGACAGACAAAATGTGCTACAACATGTTTTTCACCTTCATGGTTTTCCCAGAGATCATTGTCTCTCACTGGGGATCTCAACTCATCTGCCATTTCTGGAACGAGTTTTGCAGTTTCACCATCAGCCTTTCTTCTAGGTTCCACCCGCAGTCCAATGGGCAGATGGATTGTATGAACTAGTAGACGGAGACGGCTTTGAGGTGCATATCCTCCCACAGTCCCGCCTCCTCATCCAAATGACTACTGTGGGCAGAGTACAGACACAGTGCCCTTCCCATCTCCATTCCAGTGCTATCAGCTATCTTAAGAAGGAGGCCTGCGTCCCCTCAGTCCAGGCTTTTGCTATCGCTGCACATGGATAAGGGGCACAGTCCACAGTCTTCTGCATCTCTTGCCTTGCTACGCCCTGGGACAGAGGTCTGACTGGCTTCCGCGGGTCATTTCCCCATATCCAATATGATCAACCCGCTGCAGTCTCTCTTTAATTATCCCTCCATGCCCGATCCACCCCATTTTCTGTGTCTCCTGGGTCAAAAGCTTGTCAGGTAGAGCCCACTTCACCCCTCCCTCAGACACCCACCCCTGCTGGCTCATCGAGGGTCAACCTGCCTTCGATGTCAGGCAGGTTTCACTGGGAGGGGTCTCCAATACATGGTCGATTGGCAGGGGTACCGTCTGATGAGCACTCCTCTGTTCCAGCCTGGGGGCATTTTGGTTTAATTTGAAGATTTCGCCGCTGTCATCTGGACCAGCTTGGAGGAACATCAGGAGCTGTCCCTAGAGGGGGGGTGGAGGTGGGTTCTGTCCCAGTATGAATCATTTGCTAGTTTCTTATTTTTTAGTTTAGACTTTTGCCTGTTTTTGACCACGAATAAACTTTCTACTAAGTCTTTACACCATGTTGGCCTAAGTTACCTGACATAAACTATCCATGAAAAGAAGAGAAAAAAGTCCACTCATCCATCCACATATTACTGTTTTTTTAATAAAATCATCATGTTACAGAATTTTAATAACACTACATAAGGAACTTCTTTTATACTGAAAAAACTTTTCTGATTTTGCTTTTCTTCTTGAGTAAAAACATTTAATATGAAATTCTGGCAACTTATTTTAAAATATGAATATTGAGCTGCATGCTGCACTTATTTTTTTCTTTCATTTTCAGTGGCAGGCTTTACAAGAAAACTAAGCTGACCCCACATCCTGCAGTGGGTCTTGTCAGTCATGCTGTATGTGGAATGACACCTGCAGAGGTCACACATGAGCTAAACTCTGAAGGGAGAAGGGCAGAGGATGTAGAGAGGGAAGAGAAACACCACAGAGAGACAGACAAACAGCATTTACAAAGTGTTTTTTTATGGACTGTTAAAGCTTGTTTTGTGAGCCTGAGCAGTTTGCTATATAGACAACAAGACAAGGTTTAGGTTTAGGCAAGTACAAAAAGAATTCTTAATTTCTCACTTTGACATTCAAATAACTTTCATTTCTGCTTTATTCTGTTTGTAACTATAAAGTAAAGACACACAACATGGACTTTTACTACACAATGCATTTTTGTACTTTTCACTTCTCTACATTTATGTCGGCCAAAGTTACTAGTAACTTTGATGCTTGAGGGGTTAAATGCAAAACAGATTGCTTATATAGCAGGTGGATACATTGCTAAACTTTCAACTAACCAACACTACAAGTCTTTCGATCTTCTGCCACCTAGATCAGCTATAACATCAAAACTCTGCTTTACTCAATAATTTACATATCCATTATTCAACTGAGGGTTACTATTATTCATAACAAGCACTTCATAATTGTAATATTTTGCTGCCAATTCACTTTTGATCAAAAGAACTTAGCATGCAGAATTTTACATTTTAGTGATACTCTTCAGCAATGGATTATAATGCCTTTTAGCACCTTTCCCACTGGACGTGACAGAGGCGATAAAGTGTACTGAGGGTCCCGAGTCAAATTTCACCCTCCAAACATCACAGGAAAGTGACACAAGTCTCGGCTGGCGGAGCTACCACAACAAAATAAAATTTTTAAATACTCTTCTGTCCCACTCCATCAATCAAAAGCATATCCTGCTGCCAAGCGTTGTTCTAACCTACACGACTTTATTTCACATTCCAGTGAAGCTTCTAATGTTTCCAAATGCACTAAATATGTCATGCTGAATTAGGAGAAATGGTATAAATTTATGCGGGGCTAAAAAACAGATTGAATACTTCATTCAATATAAGCTTTAAATACCATGGCTTCAGTGAAGCCTTATACTGTATGTTTGTGAAACTTGTGTTTTATGTCTATGTCTAACGTGTGGAGGAGGGTTTTTATCACCTAGGAAACTTAAACTTACTTAAATTAGAGGAAAATCAAGTTTCGAGCAACTTCAGTGAACTCTGTGCCTCATATTGATCTTACACTACTGGAATTATACTGCACCAGTAAACTCCCATCTGGTAGTCAATGCGAGTTAAAACAAACATGATAAACTACTAGCAACCAGGATTTCACCCGGACAGGTATACCCATTACAAGTATTTTGTCAAGAATGCTATTGATTCAGTCTCCTTTAGTGTACGTGTGTATTTATTTAATAATGCTGTCACAAGTTTTGCTCAAAACAACAAGCCATAATCTTCTCTTTAACTTTTAGTCCAGCATTTTTAAGCTGTCCTTATTGAGTAAAATATTACACATTCACAGCAATTCACTCAAAACCACATTTTCAAATAGCATCAATTCCATGACTACAACATAATGTTCTGATTTACAAGGAGTCAAAGACGTCATAATGTGAGGATCAACATCATGGAAGAAAATAAAAATCATAAATTATCACGCAACAATTGTATTTATTCCCAGAGAGTCTCCTTATGCAAAATCCAACATGATCGAATCCCCCCTAACTCCCCTGCATAATTACCCCCCCCCCAAAACTAAGGGCCGGCACCTTTTCCTTCACTGGAAAAATCAGAGTGCTGACGGTGTTGCTGGACAAACTGTGGCTCATTGCTCAAATTTGATTCTGCTTATTATGGTCTATTAAAGATATACTCAGCTGTATTGAAACATTAGACAGAGACTTTCAGTTTGAGTGGTAATCATCCTATTTTCTGTCTTGTTTGCACTCAGTTTCACAAGAGCTGAGGTAGGATCCTCAGAGTGTGAATTAAATGTTGGGTGCAGTCTGCTTTAAAACTCTAGAGATATTATTAAGAAATGCTGATTTTCTAGATCAAGTTTAAATTTCCACTGTATTCTTCAAACTTAATGTAAACAGACGGGTTCACTTTAGATTTAACAATGCATTTTTCAAGACATGTCTGGCTGAGAGAGAAGCATAACGCTAAAAGGGTTACATTTCTGCCCTGGCATGAAACTTAATATTTGTATTTAAGAAAGAAAAGTGCAACGTTGCAACATTTTAGATGCATACGGCTGCATTATACAGTAGCTCGGATTCTTTTGCCTTTCAGGCAAGGATCCTGTAATTCATGTTATTTCAAACTGTAGGCGCCACAGTATTTTTGCATTTGCTTTTGTACACATGCCGAGTGGACATTCGTGTGTGCGTGTTAGCATAGCCATGTGCTCACCTGCACTGCAGTGTCTGAGGCCTCGTGGTTCTCCTTCCACTTGTGTCCTCATTTGCCCTGCACCAGAAACACAAGATGCAAAATAAGACTCAAATCAAAAAAAATATCAAGAGAAGAATGTTATTACGACCTGCACTGTGAAAATTTATCGAGATCAGTGATTGATTTGGACTTGTGGTGCGCAGTCTGTTGCGTGTCGTTCTCCCAAAGTGTGCCAGTAAAAGCTGTGTACAAGACATTCTTACTGGAACATTTCTGCTGTTACATGTCAGTGCTGTTGGGCAGAAGACCAGCTGGAATTTCTTATCTTTTCTACCATAAGTTTTGTTTATAATGACAAAATTATTTCATTTCATTTATATCATATTTATATGATTTACCATTTTTCTTACAAATAAAGTAACAAAAACACTTCATTACGCAGGTACACTGACGAGTTCCATTGAGATAAAAGTTATTATATATATTCTTTGCTTTACTTTACTTAATAGAAAACAACAACACAATTGAGGAGATGGATATAAAAAGGTAGCAGTTCTTTGCTTCGAGACAACTGCGATGCATACTGTAGAAAAAGAAGCAGCCATGCAACATTAAACATTTGTCCATTAAGACTAACAATAATAAAACACTTCATTTTCCTTTAGGAAGGTCAAAGCCCAAAGTCAATGACAGCCTTGGCCCTGACGCTGCTGGAGGTCTGCGTCAGGTCTTGCGGGCGAGACGGAGGCTTAAGTGGACATGTTCTCCGAGCAAATCCGCCCTTCTGCTATACGGATACAAAGTTCTATACACATATAAAGAAAAGGCCATACATTATTCCATGAACGTTCAAAAACAGAGCGTATCTCCATTGTTCTTCGCCCAACGTGTATTTATGAATATTTCTGTTGTGCTGCTGCAGCGGTGTGTCCTACTACGCTCTAGTTCAATCTTGCAGAAACACAACCTTAACAAACAGTTAAGGCTTTTGGAAACTCATGAAGGAGGCTGAGTAGGTGGTTTCAGTTAGAATATCTGGTCCTATTTAATTCCTAAAAATCCCCTTTTACTGCAATATGTACACGAATCCTTGAAAATAAGATTATGTACAATTAGGGTTTAGGTCATGCTGTTTCAACATTTGCCTTGGCTTGTATTTGATTGTTGGAACAAGTGTCATCCAACATGAAATTTGTCTGAGAACAAATTCAAACTCAGTGACCTTCAAACCGAATCAATCTATGTCACGTCTACAACCAAAGAATGATTACAGTTTGGGATGTCAGTAAGATGATATATATACAAACAGCTTTCAATCATCCTTGTTCTTTGTGCTGTGGCTGCAACAGGAAACCTACTTAAATATTTTTGCTATTTTTCTCTCACCCAGAAGGGTTTATCAGTTATTTTTAGCTGTTGTTCTTTCCATACTATCACAGCTTTAAGGGATACAAAGGGATTCAGAATCCTTCACAGCGCCTCAACACTGGCCTTAATAAAGCCAGTGGTACAGTTTGTGTAGGTGTTTTATGGTTTTCTTTGCCTCTTAAGTACATAACACGGGCAGCCTCTTTTTGCTGTGGGTATGTTAAAAACTGAACCGGAAGAACCTGCACTGCTCCCCACAGAGCCCCGCTTCATTTGCTTTTCGTCTCTCCTTTCCTCCCCTCCTCCTGCCTCCCTCCCCATCTTCTCACAGGACTCGTGAACTCTCTATAAACCCGCAGATTTCCTCCAGAACGCTGCTGTCTATCTGACATCAGTAGAACTAGAAATAAAACAAAAGAGTGAAGAGAAAAGCTGAAATAGACGATAAGGTATGGAGAATGAAGAGAGGAAGGGAACGAGAGAAAGAGAGAGAGAGAGAGAACGGGGGAGAGAGAGAGAGGGAGAAGCAGGCCAGATTGCAGAGGGCTGAATCAATGCAGCGGCCTGGTCTCGTTTTTTCTCTCCCCTCTCTTTTTTTCATTTTTTTTCTCTCTCTCTCTCTCTCTCTCTGAAATGATTCACAGTGGAAAGAAAAGGCCTTTTCCTTGTCCTCAGTTGAACTCCACATCAGCTTCCTGTTAGAAAGGCAAGGAGGAAACACCCAGAGCAACGCGCGCGTGCGCACATACACACACACACAC